CAGATTCCCCTAGCCAAGGAGGCTGTTCCCAAATTGGCATTCGTCATTCCGATCGGCCTATACCAGTTTTGGGTTATGCCGTTCTGAATGATGAATGTCCCAACCACCTTCCAACAGATGGTGGATCGCCTCCTAGATGGTCTCCAGGATTATTCTTTTGCATACCTGGATGACACTGCTATCTACACTGACACCTCGGAAGCTCACTTGGAGCATATAGCGATAGTCTTAGATAGGATTAGGGGAGCCGTCACATTGGTATGGTGGAGGTACAGTATCTGGGCCATCGTGTAGGATGTGGTAAGCAACAGCCCAAACCAACCAAGATCAAAGTTGTTGTTAATTGGCCCATTCCCGGTACCAAGACACAAGTCATGGATTTCTTGGGGAAAGCCTGCTACTATAGACTTTTTGTCACCAAATATAGCACCATGGTCAAACCCATGATGGACGTGACCAAAAAGAATTTACCCCGACAGGTCCTGTGGTCCCCAGAGTGTGAGACGGTTTTCCAGTCCCTGAAAACAACGCTTGTTAATGCGCCTGTCTTGGCTGCCCCAGATCCTAACAAAAGTTTTATCGTTCATACAGATGCATCAATGTTTGTACTGGGGGCAGTTCTAAGCCAGGTCAAAAAGATGGGGGAGAACATCCAGTGGCTTATTTGAGTCAGAAACTATTACCCTGGGAGGTCAGTTACGCAACCATTGAGAAAGAGTGCTTTGCCTTTGTGTGGGCACCAAAGAAGTTAACCCCGTACCTCTATGGCCACGCGTTCACCCTCATAACCATAACCCCTTAGTCTTTCTCAACCGGGTCGCTGGAGATAATGCCCATCTTCTGAGGTGGAGTCTAGCCCTGAAACCGCATGACTTCACCATCTATTACAGAGCTGGAAAACAGAACAGGAGCGCAGGTGGGCTATCACGCCAGACAGAGCTGATCCTATAAGGCATTATTAGTACTTTCCAGATAGCCCCAAGCGGACCCGAAAAAGGTCCAACCGTGTCTGCCAGAGTTGTGAGCAAAGGGCGGAGCAGTGTGAAGGTACAGCCCCATTACAAAAACCGCAAAGGAAACAATTAATAGAATGCTCCATTGGGTGGCCATCAGCGGGACATGGTTGTCGAGTGCCTGGAACTGTTTTCAGCCAGGCACTTTAGCGAATGCAGGAAGACCTGCTGCCCGTTCAAGTTCCTGACCTTCTACACAAACGGCATTCGGAAGTTAGAAAATAATGGACAAGGTAAGCATTATCCCAGTGAAATCTTTCGTGTACCTTATGTGGTTTTTAGTACAAAACCCCACGAACGGAGACCGGTCATTGCCACACTTTCCCTGGAACTATTTTGTGCTTCAACCTCATGGCAGACCGGTCAATAGTGATGCACCGAACGGTTCGCTGGCGCGTTCGCGTTCGCCACGGCGGGGGAACATATGCGCGGTTCGATCCGCCCCCTATTCGTCATCATTGAGTAAACTTTGACCCTGTACCTCACAGTCAGCAGACACATTCCAGCCAATTAGCAGCACACCCTCCCTAGCAGACCCTCCCACCTACTGGACAGCATCCATTTTAGATTCATTCCCAAGCTGCATGCTTAGTGAGAGGAGGGAAAGTGTAGCTGCTATTGATTTGGTAGGGACATGGATAGCTAGGTTAGTGTATACAGTGTCCACTACAGTCCTGAAGGACTCATTTGATCTCTGCTGTAAGGACAGCACCCCAAAAAGCCCTTTTTAGGGCTATAACATCAATCTGCTTTTTTTTTTTTTCTGTGTAATGTAATTGCAGTTGCCTGCCTGCCTGCCTGCCTGCAAGCTTCTGTGTCAGGCTCACAGTGGATACTGTGCCCACTTGCCCAGTGCCAC